ATATATATATCCTATATTCCTATATAATAAAGAGGTAATAGGCAAATTGACCATCACTCCAACACACAAGATGGCCGCCCCCATGTGGTCAAAGACGGCCGGCAGAGGAGGGCAGTTGGGGCGACCAGGCCTGCAGGGGAGGGCAGTTAGGGGTGACCAAGTTGGCAAGAGAGGGCAGTTGGGGGCAATCAGGCTGGCAGGGGAGCAGTTAGGCATCTGTCAGGTTGGCAGGGGAGTGGTTAGTGGTGGTCAGGCTGGCAGGAAGAAGCAGTTAGGGGCAATCAAGCAGACAGGCAGATGAGTGGTTGGGAGCCAGCAGTCCTGGATTGTGAGAGGGATATCCCAGATTGAATAGGGTGAAGTCTGGGCTGAGGGACACCCCCCACCATGCACGAATTTCATGCCCAGCCTTCACCCTCTCACAATCCAGGATCCCTCGGGGGATGTCCGACTGCCCCTGTGGGATTGGTCCTAAACCGGCAGTCAGACATCCCTCTCACAATCTGGTACCACTGGCTCCTAACCACTCACCTGCCTGCTGATTGCCCCTAACCCCTCTGCCTGGCTGATCACCCCTAACCACTCTGCCTGCCTGCCTGGTCACCCCTAACTGCTTGCTTGCCTGTCTGATCGCCCCTAACCACCTCTGCATTGGCTCCTGCACCCAGGACCCAGGCTTCCCTCCTCCAGCCAGCCTCAGGCACCCAGGACCCTGGGCAGTGCCACCCAGGCCTGGCTTTGTCAGGAAGGACGTCCAGAATGACGTACGGAAGACATCCAGTCTATCCGGTCTAATTAGCATATTACCCTTTTATTAGTATAGATGATTTAACCAGGAGATTTTGGCATTTTGACTGAAATAGTCTGCTTGGATTAAAAATCAAAGCTTTGGTGATCCATGAAATGCATAAGTTATTACTGAGGGATCATAATAGCCTATATGAATAATATGAATATTTATTAGGTATTGTTCTAATACTTGCACATTAATATACTCAACCCTCAGATTTCTTAACTTAATGAATCGAATGCACTGTGTAAGCATTGCCACTTTCCTCTTTTACAAATGACCATCTCAAAACATGAAGAAATTAGTTACTCTGCCAAAAGGATTCAGCCAATAAGTGGCAAAGCCTGGATCAAAACCCAAATGGGTCTAGCTAGCATCAGAAGCTTATCTCTAAGCCAATATAGATAGCATTCTGCCTTGGAAGTTTTAGGGAAGGAGACATTTTGCTTTGAAAGAGTTAGAGAGAGCTACATCTATAGTGTGATGCCAACACTGGGAGTTGATCTAGGTGTTGGGATTGTGTCTAGTATAGATGGTAAGGAATAGTACTATAATCCAGAAGCTTTTGCAACCATTGGATTCCAAGGCAATGCAGTTTATGGCCATTCTATCTGCCCTCACCTAGTGGCTCTCTGTTGTCTGCTTGACTGATTTACACACAGCACAAGGCCCTTGAGTCTCACTAATGCTCTAATTTTCTTTCCCCCTTTCCCAGTGTGAGAGTGGCTGAACTGGAAGATGAAACAAGAACTATGACTCTGAGCATCAAGAAAGTTAGTGCTGAAGATCTCAAACGCAACTATGTTTGTCATGCTAGAAATGGCAAAGGGGAGGTTGAGCAGCCAGCCAAGGTGAAACAGAAAGGTAATGGATGCATGGCCTCAGCGGAGGATCTGGGAACTCTGACGTAACGTTTTGGTGACTAAGGAAAGGAGAAGAAATTGAAAACCTGGGCACCGGCACTTACCACAACATCTACCACATAGTCATGAATCAAAGTTGAATGAAAAATCTTGAGGGAAATTTTCATCTATGCAAATATATTCAAAATAATTTTAGTAATTAATGCCTGAATGTGGCTAAAAAAAATCCATGCTTATGATAATGAGGCATGATTTCCTATCTATATAATTATGAAAATGAAAAATAAAGGAAATATTCAAGGCTACCAAAGATATAATAAAAGAGTCACATGTTGTTAGTGAATTGTAAAAACCCTTTTAGAAATCATTGCTGGCAGAGTTCAAGAGTCATAAAAATGATCATATTCTATGACTTAGTGTTTTTGAAATTTTTCATGAATAAATAGCAGAAATAATTATGGCCCCAATCAATATTCTTAGCATTAGCTATAATAATGAAACATAAGTAGCTACCATCTACTAGTAATTGTATGCAAGTAAAGTGAAATGTAAAATATTTATAATTGGAAATATAATTTTAAAATGATCACTTTAAACACTATATATCAGTATTCAAGTGAGTTTATAATATACCATTAGCCACAATTGCTAACACAAAATTATTTAAACTATGACTTAAAATGATGTAAAATGATTTCTATGTTGATATACTATATTTTTCTACAATAAATGAAAATTATGAAGCTTTCTTGTGTGAGCTGTTGCTCCTGAAACAGAACATGTTTAAAATATTTTTTGTTCTTTCATAATAACAGACAATTAATACCTTCAAGAATGTTTTTTCAATAATCTGGAGGCAGATAATGATGATTTATCACACCTGCAACCAAGTCATTCGGAATTATTTCGGATCCCCTTGTTAGTGCCCATAATATTTATATCAAAAGTTTAAAAAAAGTTAATTCAAAATTGTTACATTTTAAACCTTTTTTAAAGCTGGTGAAAAAAAAGTTTCACTGTAACATTTTTATTACAATTTTGAACAATAATCTGGAGGCAGATAATGATGATTTATAACACCTGCAACCAAGTCATTCAGAATTATTTTGGATCCCCTTGTTAGTGCCCATAATATTTATATCAAAAGTTTAAAAAAAGTTAATTCAAAATTGTTACATTTTAAACCTTTTTTAAAGCTGGTGAAAAAAAAGTTTCACTGTAACATTTTTATTACAATTTTGAAACTAAAGAGCGAAGGTTGAAAGTGTATATGCCTCTTAAGGAGTTTTAGTAGGTCGGTTCTGGTTAATTAATTGCCTCTGTTACTCAGAAGTCAATGTAAAGAGAAAATACTCAACCATATGTTCAAGACAGTGTTTCCCAAAGTTTCTTCCTAAGAACACTCCTAAGACTCTAGACTCAGATGGCCTATGTTCAGAGAGTGGTTTTTATGCATCCCAACTCTGTGACTTTGGAAGAGACACTTCACCTCTCTGAGCTTCAATGTCTTTATATTTAGAGTAGGCAAAATAATACCACTACCTCATAAGGTTGCTTTTAAGTACTGAGCACAGTTACTGGCATATATACACGTACATTAAATTCATAATAAATGTTAGCTCTTATTATTTCCACAGATTTTCATAGGTGTTATTGGACAAAGGCTTATATAGTCAAGTCAGTATCATTAAAGTATAGGTTAAAAAAAATTGATCAAATTACTTTAGTTCAGGGCTCCTTAGCATCTTTAGCATACTACCATTTGGTATGAATATCTGCAGGGGGTTGGAAATAGTAGGAAGGATTTATTTTCAAATATATTTGACTCCAGATTCCCTAAGCATGGAACATTTTGTGGGACTTGTCTTCAGAGGCATGTGTTTTGAGAAACAATTATGGAGGTTGGCATAAATTAATAATGTATTGTCAGCTGGATAAGATCAATGCGATCAATTAAAATAATATTGAGTCTAGGAGTTATGCAGAAGTCTATCCAGCAGAGCTAGTTGAGTAGCTCCCCTTTCACAGAAGCGTGTGCTAGATGGTTTAGTATGAATGGCCTGAGGAATGTGAAGTGATAACTGCATCCAATAGAACAGATTTTCTATTCTTCATTGATTTTCAAAATCACATTATTATATCCCTGAGGTATTTCTATTTGTATGTATCTTACTTAGGGTTCTTTAAATTTCTTGGTTTGGTGAGTACATTTTTTAATTTAATTTGAAAAGAAGTTAGCTGTTTTCTTTTTCCCCCCCCTTTATTTTAATTTATTTATTTCCTTTCCCATCACCACTTATCCCCCCATACCCTCTTCCACTTCCACCCACTCTCCTCCTCCCACAAGCACCATGTTCATGAGTTCTTTCTCTCCTTTTTTTTCCTTTTTGCTCAATCCCTCCACCTCCGGAATACCCTCCCCACCCCACCCCCCACACACACACCAAATATGTTAGCCTACTTGTTTAGTTTGTTCATTAAATTCCACATATAAGTGAAATCATATGTTACTTGTCTTTCTCTGACTGGCTTATTTCACTTAGCATAATTTTCTCCAGGTCCATCCATGTTGTCACAAATGGTAAATGTTTTGCTCATCCTTTCATTCATTCATTCTTACCTTTCTTTCTAGTACTGCAAACTTAGGATAGAGCACTCACATTTGATGTTGTCCCACTAATCACTGAGGTTCTCATTATTTTTTATTTCATCATTTTTTCCCTCTGCATTTCATTTAGGATAGTTTCTAGTGTTCAGTGGTCATTTATTTCTAATGTCTAATCTGCAGCATTTTTAATTTGAAAATATCATTTTTTAGTTTTTGAATTTTCATTTCTTTATCAAAACATCTGTTTTGATGTTTCTTAATGGCTCTTATAATGTTCATGGTCTTTTGAAAAATAGCAACCTGTCCCAATGGCTTAGTTTGTTGCAATGTCATCCTGTACACCAAAATGTTGTGGGTTGGATTCCTAGTCAGGGTACATACCTAGGTTGCTGGAGGGCACATACCTAAATTATGGGTTTGATTCCTGGTCAGGGTGCATACAGGAGGCCACTGATCACATTTCTCTCTCACATTGATGTTTCTCTCTCTATCTATCTATCTATCTATCTCCCTTCTTCTCTCTCTAAAATCAATAAACCTATCCTTGGGTAGGGATAAAAAATCAACAAGAATATTTATAATACTCATTTTGTATTTATTTTTTATGTAGAAAACCAATTTATTCCATTATAATTACTTATACAATTAGTCGTAGGCCTGCTGGTGAAACAGGTCACCCAAAACAGATATGATGGTATCAAACTAGTGGTCAAGGACTAACTGCTGAAAACAAAACAAAACAAAAAACAAACAAACAGAATTGGATAGTGCACCTGTCAAGTGAGAACATATATCTTTACAACTTGGTGGTCCCAAGGCTGTTTTTTTTTTAAATTTTATAGAAAGGAAACAAATAACATTAAAGTAGCTCAAGAAGTATACTAACAACCAAAATGTGTGGGGAAAAATAATCAGGCAGTTTTTATTTAACTCACAAAACTGAGAGGAGAGTGGTCTACACAGGAACATGTGCATCCTGGAAATACACGTGTGAAGATTTCAGAGTCAGAATTTATATGACTTCAATCTCCCCTAGTTTCTGAATAAAAACAACATCTTGCAGTACTTATACTTCATGGCTCAGACACCTACCTCACTTCTCTTTATTCCTCACTCACTTCTAGGCTTTACTTAAATAAGTCTGAAAAACTTGGGGTTATAGGATAAGAAAAAAAATAATCAGACACAATATTCCCTTTTTGGTGGCTACTTTAGATCTTTGTTACTAGAAAATTCCTCAGGAAAATTTATATATAAGTCTGTGGCTTTGCTGAATCAAGTCCCCCAAGTTAATATTTAGAAAACACCCTCAGTTTTGGCTAATAATAGCATTATTGGTAACTATTATAGAGGGATAGCTGACCAAAACCTGTGTCTCAAAACCAATGTTAAATCAATCTCAGGATTGAGCAAAAAAAAGGGGGAGTCTAAAATCACAAGAAAGGCAGATGTATCTAAGACCACTGCTCTAGATCCATGCATCCTTGAGGGTCCTCATCATTATAAGTGTTCTCTGCTATTTGCTGCACTTGCATGATAGTGGCTTCTGACAGAACAATCACCCAAAGTTCATTGGCATTCCAGGAGAAATCAGATATCTCAGCACTGTGACTACCATTTAAACAACAACTCCAGGGGCCCATCTCCTGCATCTTCTGGAGATTGTTCCTCTCCAATTTTATTTAAATCCCAGACATTCAGTCTATGATCAGTATTTCTGGAAGCCAAAATAGTCTCCTTGTGAGGTGACCACTGAACCTGGAATATTTCATCCTTATGTGGTTAAAAAAAAATACAACTTAAGTTTTAGATTTATCAGATCCCACAAGGCAACGGTCTTATCAGCTGATCCTGGTGGCAAGAATGAACTCACTATACGGACTGAAAGAAAGGCAGTTCACTTCAGCGGTGTGAGCATCAACTGAGTGGCTTGATTTGAAAGTATTGTTTGGTCAAATATCCCAGATCATAAGTTTCTGATCATCAGCAACTGACCCCAACAGAGACTCATGGAGCAGATGCCAGGAAACATCTACTGCTGCATAACCTGTAAAGGTGGTCTTCACATCCACGACTTTTCCTTCCTTTGGTAAAGCACTGATGTCCCACAGACAGGTGCTGTGGTCATCTAAGTGAGTGCCCACTGAAA